TCGCTATTCCATGGCACCTTACCATCCCCAATGGCCGTGTTGCAGTTTCTCGCACAGTGTAGGTGGCCTCGCTGCCTCCCAACCCCCCCCCTCCATGGCCATAGTGTTTGTGGGGCATGGGGATTTTGCAAGTGGGAGGCTCGTAAAGGCCTGGCTGGACTACCGGGCAGTGTGATGGATGGAGGGAAGGCCGCAGACTCCATTTACATGAGAACAGAAGCCAGAGAGTGGCTGAATAGAGGGGTTTTCAATCTGCTTGTCATTGAAAAAGCTTAAGATCTTTCTCCAGCGACTATCCAACCCCCCTGCTCCTCTGCTCTCTCTCCCTCTTACTTTCTTCTTTCTTCTCGACCCCCTTTTTACCCCCTTGCTGTCTCTCTTGCTTTTCTTCCACCACCGTCCTCCCCTCCCTCTGTCCATCGCTCTTTCTTTTCTCTCGACCCCCCCCCCTTACATTTTATCTTTAGTTATTCTGTTAAAGAATCTGACATTAAAAGGATTTCAAGTTCATATTATTATTTTATTTATTTATTTTTGAAAACTTCATGAACATTCGTTCATGAATTTACAATCAGAATCTGCCATGACCTTGTACTGCATGTAAACTTTTATTCACTCAATATTGCTCTTGTATATCACCTAATAAATAAGTGTACAAAAAAGATACTGTAATGCCATTGTTCAACACTGGAGGGAGGCTCCACACAGCTGATCTGAACTTTAGTATTCAAGAACAAACAAATTGCAGAAGATAGAAAGACCAGAGCTTAAAATCATCTGGTTTCAAAATATAAGGATCAATAGAAATTAAATCCGAAACTATTAGAAATTCAGAGTTCCTCACTGCAAACACTGAATTTGTTATAAACTTAACAAATCTGTTCTATAACAATTTGGTCCATGTCAAAACAAAGGGAAGTGTTTTGTGTTGCCTTTCACCAGACAAGTAATCAACATGCAGTATATGCATATGCATGAAGGCATAAATGAGATGTTTGTTGCAAATTAACTAAAAAATGGCTTCTGGCACACAGGAAGAGTTTACTAGTAATTATGAAGCGTACTGCTTTTCAAATCAGCCATGAACTTTTAATTGAACCTCTTTTGCTCTCTCCTCTTCATCACCTTCATCCCCATCGCTATTCCATGGCACCTTACCATCCCCAATGGCCGTGTTGCAGTTTCTCGCACAGTGTAGGTGGCCTCGCTGCCTCCCAACCCCCCCCCTCCATGGCCATAGTGTTTGTGGGGCATGGGGATTTTGCAAGTGGGAGGCTCGTAAAGGCCTGGCTGGACTACCGGGCAGTGTGATGGATGGAGGGAAGGCCGCAGACTCCATTTACATGAGAACAGAAGCCAGAGAGTGGCTGAATAGAGGGGTTTTCAATCTGCTTGTCATTGAAAAAGCTTAAGAACTTTCTCCAGCGACTATCCAACCCCCCTGCTCCTCTGCTCTCTCTCCCTCTTACTTTCTTCTTTCTTCTCGACCCCCTTTTTACCCCCTTGCTGTCTCTCTTGCTTTTCTTCCACCACCGTCCTCCCCTCCCTCTGTCCATCGCTCTTTCTTTTCTCTCGACCCCCCCCCCTTACATTTTTCCCACTCTCTTTTATCTCCGACCATCCAATCTGTCATTCTGGATCTCTGCTTCTCTCGCATGTATGATGTTTGGCTTCTTTCAGGCTTTCTCTGGACTCTCCGACTCTCTCGCGAGGCCCCCACTTAAATTTTGATTTGATTGTCGACACAACACCAGGAGACATCAATGTGTTTCCTCTCTTTATTCTCCTGCTCTTGCTTATAATGAGACTGATCCCATACATGAGAATGACTCAAGGACAATAGCTCCGGCACACTCCATATTCAGCCTCCACATAAAGTAAGGTTAATTGTATAATAAGTGTGTGACAATGACCTGCAACAATGGCTCAAGTCAATATTGACGCCGTACAGTGGGGTTTTGCAGCGTCAGGCCGTCAGCCAGTAGAAAACTGTAGCTCACATGTCAAGCGTGAGATATTTTTACGTTTCTGCTCTGGTTTGAGGTAAAATCACTTGTTGCTCTTCTATGGAATTTTGGTGTGGTAAAATGGGCTCAGTCACTTCAGGTTTCAGTCACTCAACATGTCACAAAGCCAGAGAAAACATACTAATCCAATAGAAGATTCTGGTTTTACAAGCTACTGTCTTAACACAGAGACAATTCATGGCTACTCCTGGTTAAAATCAACACGTTTTACGCCACACGTTTATCATATTCTTTCAGTATCCTCAAAATTTTCCTACAATGGCACTTGTGGAGCACATCTAGCAAATTATTATTCAGACTCATATTTTATGTTCAGACTTCATTAGCAGAATTACTTTCAGCCCCCATTACACATGCAGTCTGAAAAATAAATGTCCCAAAATAAGGTTTTCGCATGAATGTCATAGAAGAATCATTTTGCCACCTCCCCCCAAAAAACTTTCAGTGAACAGTTCTTAAAATAACTAATTTTCTTAGTATAAGGACAATTTTAAAAATCTACAGAGCTATACTTTGTTACACTACACTTTTTTCACCATAAATAATTTCTTTGTCCAATGGAAAGTTTCCATGGATGTTAAAGGTGGAACCATGGAACCATCAATGCCAATGAAGAACGTTTATTTTTAAGAGTATGTTCAATTATTAGACTGGAGTAAGGAGAGGAGAATAGAATATGGAAACTCTTTCTCCTGTTCTTGGAGTGCTGAGGATCTGATGAATTTGTTCACTGATGAAAATATAATGCCAAATCCAAAATTGGGCTTTCACAGATGCAATAGAAGAAACATTTTGGGTTCCCCAAAGAACCTTTCAGTGAACAATTATTACACATGTTGTCAACGATTAGATGGGAGAAACTAAAACAAAAAAAAAGAGGAGAATGGCGTAGAGCAACTCCTCCTCGTTATGCTATACTTAGAATGCTGAAAATTGGATGCATTTGTTCACTGATGAAAATGTAATGTCATCTCCACCCTTAAAATAAAGATTGCAAAATAGGGTTTTGCAGTGATGCCATAGAACAATCATTTTTGATTCCCTAAAGAACAACTTTTAAAATAATATTTATAATCTAAAGAACCTTGTTCCACTATAAAGAACATTTTGTCCATTTGAAAGGATGTTAAAGTTTCTTTGTGGAACCCTAGATGCCAATAAAGAACCTTTTATTTTTAAGAGTGTATTGGAGATTAATAGTAAACTAGTAACTTTTGCAAGCAATTATAATGACCTAATGAAGTCACTTTTATAACAGCTTTTTTGTAGGTCTTATAGGAACATTCAGATGATGTGTTAGAACAAGCTAAACTCAGAGGGAGTTCATTGTCACACTTCTTACTGATGGTCAGTCGTAGTGGCTGTGTTTGGGGGTGCAGAGCTCACAATAGAAGTGTGAAGTGATGCCTATAGAAACTAATGTGTATGGATGGTTGGGTGATAAGGAGTAACTACTCACACCTGCGGTCATTAGAGAAGACGACTCACTGGGGTAGAAGACATCTGAGTTCACTGGCATCATGGGAGATCTCTAAAAGAGAAAAAAGTTGGAAAAAAGATCCATCAAGTTTTCAACAATACAAATAAAAAGTGTTTTTTTTTTAAACAGGAACCTGAACATGTTCTTCGTGGGATAACATCTAAAACCACTGGTTTTATTCCAAGTGTTCAGGTCCAAGTTTTTAAAGGGGCAGTGTATAATTGTAACAAACCTTTTAAGAAAACTCTATAATTATAATGGGCATTATTATAAGTATTATCACTAAAGGTTTTCTTAATGCATCAACAAATTTTTTTCTATTTTATTTTCATCTTCTTTAATCATTTGAATGTCAGCACTGCATTTCCAAAATTTCTTTGCATGCTGTTTTTCTCTTTTCTCTTCTTCTCTTCAAAATTAGCATTAAATTAGCATATTAGAATGACTTCTGAAGTCATTGTGACACTGAAGACTTGGGTAATGGCTGCTAAAAATTCAGCTTTGCCATCACAGGAATAAATTACATTTTAGAAGGTTTTTTTAAATTGTAATAATATATCACAATGTTACTGTATTCTGATTAAATAAATGCAGCCATGGAGCGCATAAGAGACTTCTTTCTAAAGCATAAACAAAACATAATTATTCTGAACTTTTGACCAGCAGTGTATATACAGACAGAGCGAAAGATGTGAGATTGTAGTGAACAAATCTCATTAAAAAGTTTTATTAATGTGTCCTTAGGTTATGTATCATCTCTGTTATCACCATAACTCCACTTATAAAAATTATGTAGAGTTCCACTAATAAAAAACTTGATGATGACAACATCATCCTTTCAGAATGTGAATTCTTCAAATATAAGTAAATGTCTCCAGCATGTTTGTAATCACTGTTTTGTTATATTTCGTGAGGTTTGTCAATAGGGGACAATCTTAAATAAGACAATGTAACTAAAAAAAAAAAGCACACTGTAGTGTCATGACCTTCAGCACAAATCTAAAATGGTCAATCCTGTTACTTTTATTTATTTTTTTCAAAAGCAGTATAATCCGACATATATAAAACTATTAAATTTAGCTTTATATGGCATAATGCAACATTTTAAAGACAGTTTGTCTCATATGTAAATGAAACTTCCTTTAAAAATCACCTATTAAAAATAAAGAAAAGGCATCCATTTCGTGCAAAATAAAAATAACTGTCCAAAAGTTGCCTTTTCAACAGGTAACAAGTGTCTAAGTATAAATAAATGATTTTGTTTTGGCCACTATAAAACAAAGTACTATATTGTAAAATCCGTTTAAAGAGTTGCAGGTGAATACAGAAACTCTTCTCCCCAAAACTGAATCCTCCTCCTGCTGTTGGCCTCTCCACATTCACCGCACCCCTTCTTTAGTGATGCTAATGTGGAGAGAAAGAAAGCAGCTGGAGGCGGACAGTGATGAAATTCTATTATCACTCAAGCACTGAAAGAGTCGCAGGCAGGACGCACAGTGAGTTCAGCTCGGACATGTTTCGCTTTTAAGGCAAACTAGCTTCACCTCAGAACTTGTTGACAGTCTTTAGGCGTTTACAAGCACTTCTGGCTATAGTTACAATCAGTTCGCTCTCGTCTTTTGGACTTATGTGTCCAAAACGTAACGCGTAAACGTTTAGCTTCGCGGACACTTAAAGTCAGTGGATTTAATTTTAAATTATTTAGTAGTTTACGGTGATACTTCAGTATCACCACTAACCTCTGTGGTCAGCCATGTACAGCATGCTGGAACACGACATGAAGTCCGCCGTGCCACAGACTCACCAGAGCGCGCAGGGAATGACCCAGTTGAACGGTGGAGTGACTCACGGAATCGCCAAACCGGTTGTCAACAACCAACAACAACAGGGTAGCGATCCTATGGACAAAGTTAAGAGGCCCATGAACGCGTTTATGGTCTGGTCTCGGGGTCAGAGGCGCAAAATGGCACAGGAGAACCCCAAAATGCACAACTCTGAGATCAGCAAGCGCCTGGGCGCCGAGTGGAAGCTGCTGACGGACGCGGAGAAACGGCCGTTTATTGACGAGGCCAAGCGGCTTCGCGCGCTGCACATGAAGGAATACCCAGATTATAAATACAAACCCCGTCGTAAGACGAAACCCGTGCTGAAGAAGGACAACCCGGCTGCTAAGTATCCCCTATCAGCCGGCAACTTACTGGCGGCAGCCGCGGCTCAGGGATCAGGGGGAAGCCCGCGGATGGACAGCTACGGCTGGGGTCACACAGGTGGCTACACTGGCATGCAGGCGGATGCTCTGGGTTACAGTCAGCAGCTGCACCGCTATGATCTGTCCGCCCTCCAGTATCCATCCGCCATGGCCACCGCACAGACTTACATGAATGGTGCCAACTCCTACAAGTAAGTTGTTCTTATCGTTCTTACAGATATTTTCATGTGCACTAAAAAACATGTCCACGATATGAACTTATAAAAGCTTTTCTTCTGTTCTCTCCAGCCCCATGTCCTACAGCAGCACTCCACAGCAGCCCAGCCCGGTCATGTCCATGGTGAAACCAGACCAGGTGTCTCATTCTCCCACCGGAGCACACAGCCACCAGCGGGGTCCTTTACAAGGAGACCTGAGGGACATGATTAGCATGTATATCCCTGGTGGAGACACCACAGACAGTGGAGCACAGAGAGGCTATTCCAACATCCAACAGCATTACCTCACCGGTACAGCACCTCTCACTCACATCTGATCAGGAAACTGTCATTACCTTCCTGTTTCAGGTCTGGAGGGCCATCGATGTCGGTTGTAGATTTGTGAACATTAACTTGATATGTAAAAAAGGATGAGGGTGTGTGGACACATGGTCGAACTGGAAATCGCAAGGCAGCTGGACTTCTGGCCTTGTTGAAGTGCCTCAGAATATTGTGCGGAATGTGTATCGCCCATTTCTATAACAATTTTTTTTAAAGGTCCATGTCTTTGTTTTCTGCATAATGTTCGATGATTTTGTCATTTGGGCCTGGTGCACTGTTGTTGGAATTGCTCATGGTAGTAACACGGCACATTGTTTTTTCTTTCTGTAATCGACTAGCCAAATGTTGACTACTGCTTATTATTTGCATAATCAACTAGCTAGTTTAACATCTCACTGACTAATGACTTCAAAGGCATGGCTGTGAACGCTAAATAGGAAAGGAAGGGAACGGAGCACACATTCTCTCAGTAGCTGCTTGTACTGATCATCAAAACACCTCAAAAATTAATCTCCCAAGTTTTACTTTTAAGCTTTCATACCACAAGACTTTGTAACATTGTGCTGCTCTTCATTGTTTAGGTAATGCAAAAAATATGAAATGCACAACGGTTTAGACATTTTTGTTAGTGTAGATATATGCCCTGAGCTACAACAGATTTTTGTTACATTAAAAAGTGAAAATGAAATAGAGATCCCGCTTAGAGGGATTTGACTGTATTTTCTATTAAAAAACAACAATTAATTCTCAACTCCTTTGAGAAATAGAACATTGTGAATAGAAGTGTTGTGTGTAAAAAAGGGAGAGTCAAAACTTTTTGAATAATGTTCATTAAAAACGAAAACTTTATGAGCTTGTTAAAAGACTGTTTTGACTAAGAATGTATTGTTGTGAAATGTTTCTTTTTTACTTTTAAGCCCTTATAGTAAGGGTTAATAATCTTGTATGTGACTTGACAACCTTGATAGAAAAACAACAACAAAAAATTTAATAAAGTATTTTATTATTTTTGTACACTCGTCTTTCCTTCTCATTATATTCAAAACCAGACAACTTTTCTAAATTTTACAACTGAAATACAATAAGGCCATGCCAATAAAAATGTATTTAAGCATGCTTAAACAGACAACACAGAAAAACATATAGGCCTAAACAATCAATGGAAATAAACAAAACAATTTTAAAGAATTTAATAACTGGAAAAAACAAACAAAGTAGAAATAACTCCCCTCAATTTTTGTTCTGATCTTAACAGGTTTGTTGCAATGGGTCTGTCAGGCCTGAAGCTACAAGTTAGCAAGTTAAAACATTGTACATATAGCCTACTTATGATTAACATTTTAACGACATCTGTTCTTTGCACAGATTTTTACAAATTCAGTTACATTCAAACACACTTTAGACTGTGACATTCATAAGTAGCAAATCCTGGAAAGCAAGTAAGCCTTAAGAAGTTTGTTTAATGATAACATGACAGGTGTTGCTTTTCTATGGCGCCACAACCTACACACTTTCACGAATTAGACGATATAATGTGATAAGTGCAAGACAGCCCAGCCCGACCACATCGGCCTTTATTGCGAAATTGCTGAAACGAACTTTTTCCAATGGTTAATCAAAACCCATATGGATCTGCTTCATATGGCAGCCCATTTAAAAGCGACCAGACTCATTTAATTTAATTTATCGTTAATACGATAGCGGGCTTATGGTCCCGACGTTAACGCATTCAAGTCGATATGACTAATATTACAATTAGCTAAACGCACCAAATTAAGCAAGTAAAGGGAACAATGAGTGCAGTGGACATTGATTTAGGAGGGACAGGGTCTTAGTTTTGGCGAGTGCTGAGGGGACATCTGACCTCCGTCACCTAACCCCGAGAAGAAAGTGGACATCGATTAAAACGATAAAAGTTCGGAGGATCAAAACACAGAGGTCGGAGGAATATCCCTCCCTTCCTCTCGTGTTTTTTCATACTTTGCCCGCTTTTTTTCCAGGAGAGAAAGCGAGTGGCTGTCCGGGCCGTAATTGGCCGTTTCGGAGTCTCATTGTCCTGCGCTTTTGAGTACGCAGGTGCGCGCAGTAAAAGCGCGCGGTTCTCAGCGCCTCTTATGCTCGCCTTTGTTCTCCTTTCTCTCGCTCTCCTACCGGGCAGAAAATTAGCGTTGCATTGAGTGCCTCATCTCCCCTCTCTCAGCAGTCCCGAGCTTAACCCGCTCGCTGCTCTCCGCTATTCTCATGGTAATGCTGTAGTCAGGACCGGCTAATCGGGGAGGATTGGGGGGAGATGCCAAGGAAGAGTTTTGAAAGGGGGATGGGAGTTATAAACACTCGCGCATATGAGGACAAATATAGTCCGCCGGACTCATAAATGCTATTGCAGGATGTTCTACAAAGAAGGAAGAAGTCCATAAAGTCAATAACAACTGTTTGAAATAGTTTTTAAAAGCAGAATCTTGTTGGTTGTCGATGAATTCATGCTCTTTTTTGTGTCAAATTCGGTCAAAAAAGTTCTAAAATTGTTAATTTATTAAAAAATAAGCTACAATAAAAATGCAATGCATACAGAATGAATTGGATATATAAGCCACCTTATCATACACATTTGTAAATCATAATGATATTTTCTGGAATTAAAAATTGTCTAGGTGGTGTAACTGTCCGGAGATGGAAAAAAAAAGACAAGCAATTATGATTTCAGTGAAGCAATTTTCAAAAACATTTAAGTGTGGTGTCAGTGTGGCACAACCAACATACAGGAAGCCATTTTGTTGTCATGTGACAAAGAAAAACATAAACAAGAAAGGTTGTCTCTAGCGTGTTCATAAAAGTCATTAATACAAGATATTTTGGCCTTCTCATGAAAGTGCACGTTTTGTTCAGGTAATAAAGTAACCATAAGAAAACGTCTTGGAAATTCATGATATTTGTACTATATATTAATGATTAAGTTCTCACTTATGGTGCAAAGAGAGTGTTTTGATATGTTTAATAATACTTTAATACTTTATGTAGCCTATTATATGTTCTATATTGTGCAGATCCAGTAGCAAGTCAAGTGTATAGGGGAAGGGTGAGAGATATGTGAAGCCATGAAGAGCATCATCTAACCATTTAACATTTGTTTTGATATTAACATCTTATTTTCAGAATGAATCAGTTGGCAAATTCCAAAACTGAGTGAGCTTTGTGTCTTTGTGTGTGTGTGTGTGTGTGTGTGTGTGTGTGTGTGTGCGCTGTGTGCATGTGTGGGGGTTCAGTTGAAGGGGGAGACAGATTTTCTTGCTGAAAGCATAAAATCTCCTAGCAACACACAGAGGCTTCCACAGGTTGTTCCCAAAGCAACAGCAATCCCCCAAACTCAACCCCACACCCACCAGAGAGAGAAGAGAGGGGAAGGAGAAGAAACAGACTCCACAATTTCAGCTGAACAACATTTAAATGCCTGCTGACTAACTCAGACAATTTGAGAAACTTTTCATACACACCTTTTTTGTCTACATATGAAACTGATTAGTAGTCCAATAAAGTTCACAAACCTATTAATTTCTCATTAATCATTAGTACAGTCACACAATGGTCAGTCACACTAGACAATACAACTGTTCCGCACACACAAAAAATAAAGAATAATTGAAAAAGATGGTTTAAATGTTTTTGAATTGATTTTATATCAGTTTTCAGACTGTTTTCTCAGAATCTGAGCAATACTGAGTCAAACCCATCTGTCACAGGTCAGATCAAATCGAAAGGTTTTCAGTCATACCTCAAATTTTACAAAATGTGCAGCAGTGTTATTTTAGCATCAATGAGAAACTATTTCAATCTTTATTCATTTTATTTTTATATTTTCTGCTTTTATTTTAATTTTTGTTGCAGGTTTTTGTATTTCTGTGTAATTTTGTCCTTTTATATATATGTCTAGTTTTATTATTTTTTTTCAGTTTTAGTTTGAGTTGTTTTAGTTCATTAAGTTAAAATGAAAATGAGAAATGTTTCCATGGGAACTAGTTGAATTACAATTAGTTTTTTTTTTTTTTTTTAATTTTATTTCAGCTAACGTTCATTTTAGATTTAAAAAAATGTTTGTTTGTTTTTTTTGTAATGGTTTTAGTTTTAGCTAACTATAATAACCCTGACATGCAGATGTGATTTTACTGTACTAAGTGATGTACTGTATGTAACAGCATGATAAAGTTACCAGATAAAGTTAAACACGTGTTTTTAACCAATATGGTATAAGTTTGGCTCTTTATTCATGTTTATGACTCGATGGGACGCAGTTGCTATGCTCCAGTTCAGAGCTGCAACAGAGAGCAGGACCAACAGCATATTTATGCACTGCTGTCTGCTTGAATGCCACCTAGAACATTATTATGCTTGACTTACATGCTCAAACAACAACAAAAAAAGGAGCAAGCGAGAAGTAGTGCAGGTTTGTCTGTGCATAAGTCAGACTGTAGGTGTGGTGCTTATTCATGGGAGAGAGATATAGCAAACATTTGCCATTGAAGGATTGTGCAAGAACAATGAACCGATGAGTGACAAAAAACCTCAACAAGTGAGCAGAATATCAATCGTCTTAACTAACGTCACACAGCTTAACGTGAGTCCCCAGAAACATGTAAATTATTGAAACTTTGCTTGAGCATCAATCATCTCAGTTATAATCAGACATAAGTACTGAACTATTATCATCTCAACTTGACAAAAAAAATCACATACAAAAATTGATACAAACTAAAATACACCACACATATAACACAATGTATCTTCTATTCTTTACATGTGTAAAATCTCGACTTTAACAGGTAGCAACTTTCTTCAGATATCATCATTTGAGAAGCAGAATATGGTACAATATCAGATATTGCATATTGACATTGTATATTTAGTTGTGTATGCTTATTTCCGGCTTTTACATTTAGATGACCTTTGCCGTCATCTAATGCTCACTTAAAGTTAATCATTAAAAACGAATCAAATTAATAACACTGTTAAATGTAATCTTTACCCTAATCTCAAAATGAATTTGAATTGTTCATGCTGTAGATTATACTGTTATAATGCCTAAATCCAAAATACTGATTTTAGTTGTTATAGTGTTTCTTTTTACTTTACTTAGACAAAATAGAATATAACTACCATCTACCATTTATAAGTTATCAGCCATAACACAAAGAGAATTATCATCTTATTAGCATCATATCATTTCTTTAAAATACAATATATATATTTTTTTTTTACAGAAAATGTAAAATAACATTATTTCACTATATTTAAATAAGCGTGTGTGTGTGTACAAACACCATAAAATACTATTAAAAAGGTCATACTGGCAGGTGATAAAGTGTTTCAGTTTGCTATAGGTTGTTTAATAAAGCACCATCTGTATGTGGATGAACATGTTTGATGAAGTTGCTTGATAAACTGGATTTCAGTTGTAGTACTGAGTCGTAGGAAATGTTGTAAACACATTCCTATCACTACTTTTATGCCTCCTCCGAATCCAACCTGGCCAGACGGACGAAAATTCAAGAACCTTTGAAGATATGATGGGTGACAGGTGGCCTTTCCACACCGTTCTTTTTCTTCCTCTTTCACTATCTTGCTCTCTCTCACACACATTTTGTTTGAACATGCAAACAATACGTCATTTCAGGGTACTATTTTAGGTAAGCTCATGGGAGAAACAGAGAAGGAGAGTGTTCGTTTTGACATGCTGCACTGAACTGCAGAGGGATTACAACACTCAGATTGGAGTATTGATCCACTGCAGCTGCTCTTGCATGGAGGATGAAGAGAGAGAAAGAGAGACAGACAGACAGACACAATGCTATCTGATTTCTTGTTTTTCCACTTTACACAAAATAACTGCATGGCTGATTCTTCAACTTAAAGCACTTTTGGCCACGTGAACGAAGAAACTAAACTTTTAAAAAAATTTCACACTCTCAACAGTTCCTTAAAATTGTCTACTAACAACGTTACGTGTGTATTTACATACATAAGAAGGGAATTATATCGTTTTTTTCTTAAAGTCACGAACATTTCAACCACAGCATCATAGATGAAAATGACGTGATGGAAATGACATTTTAAACATTGTTGGATGGCTGATTATTTGGTCTGGCTAAGGCTAACTTCATAGTACTTTATGCAGCCCAATTACACACAATTAAATATCTATCTATCTATCTGTACACACACACACACACATTTTGTATTAAATATAATCCTATTTCATACTTTCGTTGCATCATTTTCTTTATTATGTTCGTCTCCTTTGGTAAATATGTATAATAACTTCTGAAAAAAAATTTGTTGATCATGACGGAAACTACGCCACATCTGAGAGACAGTCGTTATTGGTATAAAAATTAATATAAATCACATTAATTTTTTTAATGTATGTATTTTGCTCGTTTAGGGTATATTAGATTTAAAATGTAATAATGAATATTTTAGGGTGATTTTTATATTTCAAGACTGAAAGTCTGGGTCTGGGACAATAGTAAAACAATAAAATGTATTTATGAATACGTTGCAAAAATAAATGGTAACGGTATGGCCAAAGTTCCAGTTTTTAATGTGAACTTCACATTCACAAATAAAATTTCATAAAAAGAAAACATTTAAAATCTTCTCATTCTAAATAATAATAATAATAATAATAATAATAATAAAATCAATCCAAGGCACATAAAAGTTCCTGATATTGAAGGAACACCCATATCTAAATGGGGTTTATTTCATCTGCACTCATTCAGAATTTTTAATCATTCGTGTTTGTTCAAATCTCAGAACACCGTGAATTACTATCTACTGTCAGATCTGTTGCCACTGGAGTGCAGCCCACACAGACAGAAATACGCACCAAACACCAAGACCCCATTCTTCAGATATGCAGAAGAACTGCATCAATGGGCTGCTTATCACACACAATCAAACAACACACATCAAAGTGCTCCGATAATACAGACACACAATCGGAATCAGTAGAAGTCGTAAATATGGAAAGTATAAGTAAATCACTTTCTTCTTCAACGTAATTCTTTCGTGTCCTCACACACAAACACACACGATTCTTTCAGAACCTCATTTGCAGGGCAAACAACACACACACACACACACACACAGTGTGGCGTTTCCACACAGACACGCAGATTAGATCATTATGATGGTAGATTGAGAACTGTCAGACAGGTAGATAAGGAGCAAATCACACGCATGCACACACGCTTTATGACTCATGTTTCAGTGAGTTTTCATTGCTCCGGAAACACACACAGCCCCGCAGAGAAGACCTCCCACAAAGCAGACAGAGACAGGACTACACAACCAGACCCAACAAACAAACCACACCACAGCGTCAACACAGTACCTAAGCAACACCGGGGGACACGCTGCCTGTCATTTCAATACCTTTAAACTACTTGTTGACTTCCCTACTAATCCCAAAGATACTTTCACTCAACATGAGAAAAAAATGATTATGTAAAAAGAAATAATAACATGTTAAAGGAGCTTTAATGATCAGAATCATACTTTATTATAGAAAAAGATGTCTGAAAATGTGCAGTGTATGGCATAAAAAAATAGAAAGAAATTAAATCACATCTTAGGACTGAAAAGAGAAATTACAAACATTTCATGAGACATTTAATGATTCACAACCTCTTTTCCGGGAGTGCACACACATTCTGAAGTGTAAATCCAAGAAAGCAAAACGGTATCTGACCAAGTGACAGAAAGAAAGAGAAAAATAGTGAACAACATGTATTTACAGTGATATAGTAACAGAATCTGCATGGACAGTAGAAGTTCAACAGTACACAATAATGTAAAGAGTAAAAAACTGCTCTTCTGTCACCTAGTGGTGCTTTATTGCAACATTCACAAGCTCGCTTGAGCTAAATAACTACTGCCACACAGAGGCGGACTTGTAAATTGGCCTTGTCAACGTCAGTTCATTTCCCCTTATTTAAACAAAATGATAAATACATCCTATTTTTACAGCATTTATCCAAGCAAATAAATATAGTTAGTACTTTCCACATGTCAGCCAAATATTCAGTTTTCTGTAGCTGAATTACCCCAATATGGATTTGATATCAGTACGAGATGAAATGATGTGCTAATTTAAGAAAAAATGTGTAAGATGGTTTGTAGTTAAATTTAATTTAAATTAATACAAATCTGGAAATAATCAAGCTATTACTGACTATTTATCTGATTTTCACCAGAAAAGGGTTGAAAATTTCACTTCTGAATGCTCGCACTGAGTGAACCTCAATAGTCCAAACAACTGAGTTTATTTCACCTCTTTCATTCAGCCTTGTCTTTCTCCTCTTGTCCTTCTTTCTGGCTGTTTGTCACGCATTTATTCCAGTACATCAGGACCTGTGCTAGTATCACCCCACTGCAACAGCAGGCCACCACATACATCTGAGTTAAGAGAGAAAGGCCTGTGTCCTACAATAAGAGAGAGATTATATATGAAAAGAGAAATGTAAAATGTAATGGGAAATATTAACACATCTGATTAACAGGGTCAAATCTTACAAATGTCTATCAAACATTTCCATTGTTATTGCCCCCCAAAAAGCCACAGTTCATTAAACATTGACTTTTGGTGACAACATACCCCAATAACAGAGCATGTCATGACACAATGGGGTAAGCTTTTAAGAACAATTAAACAGCTTATTTAATATTTTTTGTTGTTAAAGTTTCAATGTAACAGAAGTAGAAACAGACATATTCTTCAATGTTGTAATGTACGTCCAAGTGAAACAGAAAAATGTAGGGCAGGATACTTGGTAGTTGATTCTATACGTCAGTTGAATGATTGGAGAAGAATTATGATATTTTAATCAAAAATTACAGAGGTCAAAAAGAAAGAAAGAAAGAAATAGAAATGTATGCACAAATTATTTGAGTTTCAGACTTTGACTTTGATAAATCCAACATACAAAATCACTGCTAGGGAAAGTGATCATTTGTCTAATTGTACATTGACATTTGAATAGTACAACCAACCCTGGTCTCTCTTGCATGAGTGTACTTTCTGCCCTGAACGTGTGTGATAATGTGTTTGTGTACCTACAGTACTTACTGGGGACAAATTCGTACCCAGAAGTGAGCTAAATCTGACAAAATCTCCCATAACCTTCTTTTAAGGAATGTCCTCGTTTATAAAAACAGCATAATCATAAAGTAAATAAATTTTTTGTTTTTATTTGTTTGTTTTTTTGGTAAAAAAGCAGAATGTTTTCTGTTAGGGTTAGGTTACAGTATTTATAACTAGCTTTATTTAAAAAAAAAACAAAAAAAAAACAGAAGTCTATGCAACGTCCCCATTAAGTTAAGTAAACGTGTGTGCACCTGCAGGGAACTGAAGATGCGTCCCAGAGAGCCAAGAAAGTTCAGGAAAACAGAGAGCGCAGACAACTGTCCTGTGTGTCCCCACCTGAAGTTACTTCCTGCCTGGAAAAACTAAACACAACATAAAATACAAAAAAGTATTTTTGGTTTGTTTTTTTAAAGACAACGTACAGACACACATTCTCATCTCTATACATATTTTGGGGGGGTACAAAGTCCTGACTCACCCTGCCAGCAATAACCAACAGCACGTTCCACTCATACAGTGTCCAAACCACTGACACAGGAGTCAAAGGTGAGGCCAGGAGGAACATAAAGCCACAGTATACAGCAAGAAAATATATACCTGCATGAAAAACCCCAATCAAACATTCAAATAAGAACACTTAGAAGATTATGAAAAGGACCTTTTTTGTCATACAGTTTAAGCCTCTCTCTTTTTTCTTTTTCTAACCTTTTATGGGTTTCCCTCGGTAGTGCTGGACAAGCAAAGTCAGGACAGCAATCTGGATCAATGCAAACAAACTTTCCCCCCAGGCACTGCAGACACACACACACACACAAATTCATGACTTAGCATATTCATCTACAGTATATATAAGCTTTTAGCATTAATGCAAACACTGTTTTACCCAATGGGAAAGTTCTGAGTGTAGCAGAAAGCTGCATGTGTAGAGATGGCCAACAGCTCCAGAAAAATCGAGGTCAGACACAGTCCATTAGAACTTCCAGACCAAAGAACTTTCCAGATCTGAGGGAGTGGAGCTGTGGGAAGAAGTAGATTCACACATACTATGAAACACAGTCTCACAAGATATAAAACAGAAAAAAAAGTAAATTACTTAAACTTTGGAGGATATGAAATATGATGTCAAATAGACTAGTACTTACCAATAACAATTCCCACCAAAATCAATATTCCCATAGTCTTACGTAAAACAATCTTCAGACAGGGTACTAGAGAACAATACAGAATAAAGAGTAAAGAAATATTCTGTTATGTCGGCAAGTGCACTGGATAATAACTGTCAGTTGTGACTAACATTAAACATCAATGCAACCAGTCATCTGTGTGGTAAATGTAATGTGTTAAATCAATGTTAAATGCTAACAGTACAATTTTACCCATTGTAAAATTCAATTGTTTTGGAGGCAATACATTCGCTGATATTCTCATACGTTTATTCGAGATAAAGCTGTCTCTCACCGTGCATAAAGTTGAAGTAGAAGAAAAACTGGTCATAGCATTTTTTCTGGCATGAAGAAAGTTAGTAAAAATTATTTCAAAGGACGCATTGTTCCTTCATCAGACGTGTCCATAGTTCAAAAGTTGAAGTAGAAGAAAAACTGGTCATAGCATTTTTTCTGGCATGAAGAAAGTTAGTAAAAATTCTTTCAAAGGACGCATTGTTCCTTCATCAGACGTGTCCATAGTTCATGTAACGTTATTCCTGTCGCTGGTCGTGCTATCGTGGACCTACGCAAATCTTCAGCACGGAAAATAATGTCAGTTCAATTTATTGCTTGACACCAATAAATAACCATTCACATGATTAAATTAACTAGCCATCCGAAATTTAATACGTGGCTTTTGGTGGTCTTTTTTTCTTACGTATAAGCAAACCTTTTTTGAATGTTTTAAAGACCTGTCATAACATGTCTTATTTTGTAAATTCCACCAAAACTGTCTCTAGTTAGACAGCAAAGCAAGCCTCACCAATGATGTTAAAGTTTTAGAGGGGCGTCTCTGGGTTAAGTCCTATGGTTTAGTCACTGCAACAGCTGTCTCATGATGTTTTCACCGCTGCCGAAATGAGAGCCCCATTTTTCCTGAAAGTGTTTAAGGTAAATTAACTGCAATCAACGCCTTTTCTGTTTTCACAAATTAGATTTAAATTTTTGTATTTACGCAAATAACGCAAATTTTTTGGCATCAGTATGCCGAAAAAAGTGGAAAATGTTTTCCTACAGGGGGCGCTCGAGGCTCATTCAGCCATTTATCTTTTTTTTATATACAGTTCGAATAGTTTATCTTTCAGATGGATTTCTTTGACTGTGATTCTGTAATTTTTGTCACTATATTTTAATAATTTGAGAGCATTAAATTGATCAGATGCATTTTAAATGCAGTATAAAATAGTGAAATAATATGCATTTAAAATAAGAATGAATGATACTTAAAAAAACAATTGGTATTAAATGTATTTTATACATTCTGTAAAAAAATACATGACTGGCCCATGGTAAGAGGTCGTGTTACCCTACGGTGGCTCCTTTACATTATTTTCAGTTTTTCATCATACTATAATTACAGCTATATTAGCAAAAGTTTCTGTTTATTCCCCTAAACACTCAGTGAAGCATTATTTTACCTAACATGTTAAACTCATATTTCAGTATGTTTCAGTTTATCAGTAAAAGCACACTGTCTGTGGATTTCACATGTGCATGTTTGGCTTGTGTTGCCTATCATATGAACCTTTTATGATGTTGTAAATACAACATTTATAAATACAACATTCATTTTTGGGTGTATGCATATTAACCACTGGAGAGCAAGCAATAAAATATGAAAATTAATAAAGTCTCTTTCCAACAAACTTTGCTCTGTAGTTCAACCTGTGCTGTTATTGGACCATTTTTCACAACCATGGGGAGAACTCAGACACAAAGAAGTACATTCAGAGTCTTCAAAAAGTAATGATAGTTTCATCCAGCTTATATATCGAAAAAGAGGAAGCAAAAAGAAGTATACGTCTTAAAAAGAGATAGTTTAGACAGTTCTAAGAAATAACAGTTACCAACCATTCATGCTTTGCACAGACACAAGATACACTTTCGCATGTTCACAAGACTATTTTGCTTAAATAGAAAGTGCTTTTAGAATTGTTTTTACTTTCTAAACAGGCAACAACACAAAGTTAATTTTGAGGGGAAACTGAGGATGTGGCATCATTATCGTGCTAATCTGATGTGTGTGAATTGTGACCCCAATGGAAATATTTCATTTGACAAACACATTTTTTGTCCAAGGCTTGGCTGATAGGGTGTGTCAGTCGGAATGTTTTAGTATGCTGGGATTAGGGGTTATAGGCAGACAGGAAAAGCCTTTAAAGGAGACGTGTTCTTGCAGTGTTTCCATAAACCATGACTGCACCTCTCCTCAAACATAAACTCCGCTGAACATCAAAAACTAACTCATACTGTGTGACAAACAGAATCTGTTCACTATCAGTCATTGCAAATTTGTTGAACTCCTTTAATGGAAATCTTAACACAAAAACATGGGAACTTTCTTGAATTAAATAAAACAGGTTTACCACAGCAGAATCATTATATGTTAATAAATAAATAGGCTGGACAGCAATGTCCTCTTTTATACTGGCAAAGGAAATAGCAAATCGGTTTTTAGATAACGCTATTTGCTTTGCAGTGTAACCGTCATGGTTTTTTTCTCTTACTACAGAGACAGTCCAAAGTCCCGCGGTACATTTGCTTTATAGCACCCTGTGCAAACATAATTTAGTGAAGTGAATACAACACACATCCCACACACACAAACACACACACACACTTCTCCACAGTTCATCATTTATTTTGTGTCAGATCTGACTCATGCTGCAACTGAATGATTAAAAATTTACTGTTTACGAGTGTTATGGCAAGCAGAGTGACAGATCCCTACAAAAATGTAATTAAATGCACAGAAACATAAATTTGTATATATGGGTTATAAGCTGTAGTTTTTAATGCTTGATGATGGTTATTTTAATTTAAAAGTCTTGTTTTGTTTATTAAAATAGCCTGTGTGAATTCCAGAGACTTCTGGGTTAAAAGGTTTATATGTACAAACAGTTAAAAAGGTTAACACTGTACATCACAAACACCTAAGAAACAAGAGTTAATAAAACAATTAAATTTTATATTGTATGGCTTAGATACAGATTCTCTGGACAGGGTGTGGTTAGAGGAACTGGATTCTATGGGCTGGTCTTATCTTAACTCAATAATAAATGACTAGCAGTGCTTATAAAAACCTCTGCACTATGGCAGACAGACAATTTCAGGCTGTGTGTGAGACTCCGAGACGATAACCAAACTTGTTGTCAAGTTCTTTTTATCTTGGAGCTTTTTAGTAATAGTGTAGAGATTACAGCTGTTCCCTGACTTCAGGATTATAATACCCATCTTGCAGCATGTGTACGGGAAAATGTGCGCTTTGCGTCGGGACAAGTCTGTACCCGTTGGCAGTCATATCCATAATATGTAATATTATGCTGTTTTTTCCTGGCTGGGATATAAAGTACGCACAGAATGGACAAATTACTGAGGAGGTCAAATACATGGGAGGACTGATTGGAGGGGGGATTCTGGTAAGTCTGGTTTTGTTTAATTGCAATGTTGAACTATATAAAAATTCGAATTTTATTTAGGCATCATAGCGAGTAGCCAATATGATGATTCTAGGTTTAGTTTGGGCTTCACAGTAAATGTACAAAACACATTTATTGTGTGTTAGAGTCAATCCAAACTCTATCAAAATGACAAAGTGATGAAAATCTAAAAGAATTCTCTCTCTCTCTCCTCCAGGTGCTGATTCCAGCGTTTCACATTCACCTGACTGGAAAGCAGGGTTGTTGTGCTAATCGCTGTGGGGTGAGTTTGCGCTTTATTTTTAGTCTGAAGTTTATAAATATCCTTTAGAAATTCAGTTATGAAGAGGATTGTCCACTGGACCTTTACAAGCCCAGGAAAAGTGATGCATTTGTCACCTTTACTGTTTAGGGATAAAAATAAAAAAGCTTCCATTTTCAGAGAGTTTAGAAATGGAAGCGCAAGTGCAGAGATTTTACTTTAAGCAAACTGAAAGAAAAATAAAATGTATGTGCATGCTCAAAAGTTGACAAATGACAACACAAACAAAAGAAGATTATAAACAAAACAACTGATTGACAAATGAAAAATAGGTGTTAAGAAAAAAAAAGGACAGGAAATAGCAATGAACCCCAAATACCTTCTAAAATAAAGTAACATTACAAAGAGCAAGAAAATCATAACTGAACACACACAAGCCTTATATAACTTGCTTGGCCAGTGTCTGTGCTATGAGCGGGCTCAGAGGGGCCTGGCCCGGCCATTTCAGTCCCATGTTACCGATATGTGTTTCTAGATCTGTTGTGAGATCAATGTTGTGTTGACAAATATTTTGTAAAGATGCATAAGGAAGAACTTTTGTTAAAGTAGTGGACTGAATCTTCTCTTAACACAAAGACAAATAAATGTATTTAGAATGTAACCGAGTACATGTGATGTGAAGAACATGTCATGTGCCTGTTAGCGTGAAGCACAGACTTGTCTGAAAATACACAGGCGTTCCTCTGTTTTGAAAAAATCTAGAGTCTGACATGTGGCTTGAAAAATGTGCCCTCATTGCAAATATTTGCAGTTTGTGACTTGTAAGAACCTCAACAGTTGTACAGGAATCACTGGATGACAACCTCACTGAATGGTGACAGAATTGTAGGAGTTCATTTTTCGGCCATGTTGTTGTTGTGTGATTGGGAAATTGTTCTTAAGATGTCTTCAAAATGAACATGTGGAAAATTCAGACACAATAATTCATAAAGATTGCATGACTGAATTAATTTCTTGTATATTTGTATTACGTTTTTAAATTAAATCATTCTGATGAAGGATTTTCTATTTCAGATGTTCCTGTCCATTTTATTTGCAGCAGTGGGTGTAGTCGGCGCCCTTTATAGTTTCATAGTGGCGCTGATGGGTCTAATCAATGGGCCATACTGTAAATATTACCTTCTTGTTTGGGGGACTCCCTTCAAAGACAAGTAAGAGACACACCTCAGCACTTTAAAGGGGTCATATGATGTTGCTAAAAAGAACATTATTAAGCATGTAATGGCAATTCTTACTGTTTAAATATGTTTAAATGTGTTTTGTCTATGTCTCTCAGAGACGAGAGTTACCTTAAGGACCGTGGCACGTGGGGAACTTGCACAGAGCCAAAGAATGTGGTGGAGTTTAATGTAGGTCTGTTCTCAACACTGCTGGTGACCAGCGCCCTGCAGCTCATCCTCTGTGCCATACAGATGATCAACGGCCTCTTCGGTTGCCTCTGTGGAACCTGCAAAGAGAAAGGGGTGAGACACTAGTTGAAAAACAAGGAGAGTGGTGAATAAGGAATACAAAAAGAGTTCTAATACGTCCGTGTAAAAAATTTTTTTTTAAATAGTCCAAAACATGTTAAAAACAACCTACCAAGCCATAATACGAACACTGCAGCAATTTCACAGTAACATTAATAGTGAGGCCCTCTGAGGTCATTTTCACTATACATAAATGAGATGCAAATTGGCGAAAGTGGCGTTTGTGTTGTTTCACACAAACGCAACAAAATAAACGCTTGTTAAGCACTCGATGAGCAAACAGATTTAAAGCTTTACCATCAGATGACGGTGAATATTGAAGAATTATTCCATGGTCTGTCGGAATACAGGATTCTGATTGGCTGGCAGGTATGCAGTAAAACCGTTTAATGCACAGGTAGTTCCAAGTCAGTTTAATCACCGTTCTATATTAATGCGCTGCTTTAATTGATGCACACTAACAACCAGTGTTGCCAACTTAGCAATTTTGCCAACTTAGCAACTTTTCAGACTACCCTAGCAACTTTTTCTTCCAAAAGCAACTAGCAACAAATTTAGCTATTTTTTAAATTTTATTTGGCAGCTTTTAGCAACTTTTGATAAGTGACTCGAACGATAAAAAGGCACAATTTACCATTTAAATTACACAAAAAGAGGAAACCAAAGATGCCTAGCAGTACACACGTTACAGGAATTAAGTTAGCTGCTATTTGCAATTGTTTAATAGTAATAATAATTGAATACTGTTATTTTTCATTTATGAGACACTTTGTTAGTAGCTTGTACCTGCGATTGTTGATCAGTTAAACATCATTTATCAACTTTTAGCAACAAATCAACCTTCCTTTAAAAACTTCCCCTGAAAATTAGTTGGCAACACTGCTAACAACACGAATCACTCGCGCACACACACACACACACACACATACACACACAGAGAGAGAGAGAGAGAGA